ATTCTAAATAAAAATATATATAGGCTTAGTATAAGCGATGGGTTATAGATAATCTCTAGGATTAGGAATATATTTCTAGTTAATTATTAAAGCGTAATAAATAACGTTTATATAAAAATAAGATATTAAATAAGAAATAAACTAATTTATACCCTTAGATAACTCTAAGGTATTTCTTAGCGAACTTATAGATAATCTTAAATAAGATTCGGGGTAGTCTATTTTCTAGATTATACTAAATTAAATACTATAGATATTTATACTATAGATAGTATATTATATTAATTTAATTTATAGTAAAATATACTATTAGATTATAGAGATATTACTATATTTTTTATAGTCTAATATTAAACCGCTTCTTTATTATACAAAGTACTATCTCCTATAGAGGTATTAAGTCCTTAATATATATTAGAGTCTTCTCCTTTTCTTTAGTATCTAAATTCTATTATTTTATAATCTTTTAAATACTCTATTTTAGAGCTAATTATTAGCTAAATACCTAGATATAGGATTTAATCTTATTTTTCTTATTTATCGACTAAGCCTATTATATATTAGGTCTTTATTAATCTATTTATAATATTAAAGAAAGTTTTTCTAGTATATATCTAAAGTACTAGCCTTTCTAATTCTCTTAGATTGTCGTCTATTCTTACTATACTATAACCAAAGATACTAACGTAGGAATAATAAAAATTCCTTTTTTCCTATAGCTCGAAACGTAATATTCGGATTAGCCTATTTAGAAATAGGAGACTATAAATCTTTTTTATACTATTTCTAACTATATCTTTTATAGAGTATTAGCTTCTAATTCTACTACCTTTTCTAGTATTTAATATACTATTCCTAATAATTATATATATAAGCTATATTTACCTAAGTCCTATCTATATATCTATTATCTTTACTATTAGATAATATATTATTAGACTTAATATTAGGATCTATCTTAGAATTATCCTTATCGGTATTACTAGAGCTAGAGCTAGAGCTAGAACCTATACTCTATTAAGAGTTCCGTTCTTAAATTATATTTATAGCCTTTAACGTCTTCTATAATTTTAGCTTCTTTAATTACTATTTATAATAAATATAAATTCCTTTATTATTAGATTTATTATTTAAATTATTTAGTAATACTCGATAATAGCCACGTTTACTAACTTAGGAATCACGAGAATAAACTTTACGGAATAACGATAAAATAGGTTCCGGAGTTAAAATATTAGTTTCTATATTAGAAGTATTAATATCTAATTCTATATAAAATAATTTAGAGCTAGGGCTTTTATTACTACGATAACTCTAACGTCTTAATATCTTTCTATATTAAAGATATATAAATATAAAAAAGAGAGAGATTAACCTATAGAATAATAGAAATATATTAACCTAGAACAATCTACGCTAGAGTCATAACTTAGTATTTAAAGATAAGTATAAAGTATTTCTACGAGGGAGTATTTAGAGAAAAGTATTATTATTCTAAAAGAAACGTAGGGAAACTATTTATAAAAAATTAGTATAGCGCTAATAATTACTTATTTTATCTATTTATAGGATACTATCTTAGAATACTATAACTAGATTCGTAAGGGATAAAAGAAGGTAAGCTAAAGGTACATAGTAAGTAAATAATAGATAATAAAGCAGTAATGGATATAGACGTAACGCGTCGTTTATACACAACAGACTTATAAATAACACGCCTAAGGGGCCTAGGCGGTAGGTTAAGGTAGGTCAGCTAGGTTTTAGGGTATATAGAGAAGTCGCTGAGGGGTCGTGGCATTAAGCCCGTGGGCCGATAACGCCATTTTCGGCGTCACTTAACGCCATTTCTGGCAGCTCCAGACCAAATCGAAAACTTCATTAAGTAATTAATATATTATAAACTACTAACTAATTATAGTAAATAGGGTCCTTAAAGGGTAATACTTCTCTTAGAATACTACGAGCCTTAAGTATAGTCTATAACTATACTAATACTACGTAGGGCCTTAGATAGACTTAGGTCTTTAGGGTATTTATAAGATATAATAGTTAAGGCGCTAATTAAGTTAGTTACTTAGGGATTAGAGATCACTAAGTAAGCTCTTAAGATCGTTAAGGTTTTTAGCTTTATAATTAAACTATAAACTAGTATTTAAGTAATAATAATACGATTAATCACGAAGAACTAGATATATATATAGTGAAGCTCCTTATATACCTAGTCCTCTATATAGGTATTAATAATAGATAGTATAGTAATAGATATATCTTAGCGCGCTCTACTAGTTAATCGTCTTACCCTTCTACTAGGGGCGAGTCACGTATAGGCCCTAACTATTAGACCTCGAAGAGCAGTTGCTATCATGATAGTTGATTGGCGGCTGTTCCCTACGCCTTGTCTCACGTGACTATTTGCTGGTTGGCCCTCGGTGGCCCATCTGTAAGTCGAGTCCCTCAATTAGTTGGCAGCTGCAGGGATCGTAACATATATCCGTGTTACTATTAAGACTAAATCTTGTCTTGCTAGTCTAATACGAGAGTATTAATTTATTATACAATATCTTCATGACTCCACGTATTATCGATAATATAAACGACTAGGTCTCTACCGAGTATCGTGATTATTCTATCGTAGGGTAGATTAGGTAATAAGGTCCAACTTCCTATCTCTCTCAATATCATATGATATCACCTGATCCACCCTTCCATCAGTTGGGAATAGCTTCATGCCTCACCCTCTCTGTAGACCCTTTACATAAATTAAGAATATTAAGATATTTTTAATCTTAATCTTATTTTTATCTTCTATAGGGAATAGACCTTAGTTTCGTTCTTAATCTATTAAAGATTCAGTAGTATTCTTTTATTTAAGCTAGCTTCTTATTTATAGGGCTATTTATTATAGTTCTTATAGATATTAAAGTTTACTAATTATTTCTTAAATAGTCTATAGTTCTTTATCTAATTAAGCCTAGTTAGTTTCGGATAAAGAGATTTATAATATCTTATTAAATATATTACTACTATATATTATAATAGACTAGGTTTATAGGGTTATCTTGTTTCTTTAGATAATTGAAGAAGAAGATTTAGAATTATAAAGAATATACTTAGTAAGGTATAAAACCTATCGATTAGATAAAAAAGTAAAATAGAACAATAGCAGATCTAATAGTATATCCGTGTTGCTATTAAGACTAAATCTTATTTTGCTAGTCTAATATAAGAGTATTAATTTATTATACAATATCTTCACGACTCCACGTATTATCGATAATATAATGACTAGATCTCTACTAAGTATCGTGATTATTCTATCGTAGGGTAGGTTAGGTAATAGGATCTAACTCTCTAACGTAATCGGTAAGCGAGTGGGACATGTAAGCGAGTGGGACACCCCAAAACACATAGTAAATGTGGTTATCAATCTCAACAATAATATATCAATTCTTTTAGATTTTAAGAATAGAGTTATAATAGGCCTTGAATAATATCATATATGGGTCTCAGATGATTAAATAATTATCAATTGAGATTACAGAAACATACACTGTAACTTTGGATATATATATGTCTCTCCACAACCACTATATTAATAGGCCTTAGACTCATGTAGTATAATAGGATGATTGTATATAATAGAGTTATATAGCTAAATATAATTCTTAGACAATAAATGTTGAGATTCGAGGTTGTATTTTATCGCATTTACTATGTGTTTTGGGGTGTCCCACTCGCTTACATGTCCCACTCGCTTACCGATTACATTATCTCCCTCAAGATTATATAATATCACCTAATTCACCCTTCTGTCAGTTGGGAATAGCTTCATGCCTCACCATCTCTATAGACCCTTTACAGTCTCGCTAAATAGTACGACGTAATTTTTCTGTATTAATCGCGTCTTCTATTAACTTACGGATGTTTACCGATAATAGACCTAATTAGTTTAGTCTAGGAGATAGTTAGTTATACTAAATAGGCGTAGCTAGTAGAGGGGTTCTTTGGCCTCGACGAATAAAGGGATTAGAAGATTATCTATGGGCTAGACAGATGCTTTCCCGGGGACGCCATTCTAAAAATAGATAGAACTATACCGGAGAACCGAATAAAGATATAGTTAGCTAGAATTAGACGTTAACTACTATAAAACGATAAAAAGAACAAGTGATCGATCCTAAAGACAAGATAGATAATAAAGCCAAGATCGAGAAAGAACCCGCTACTCCTGAAAAACCAAGCAAACCACGTGACCGCCCCCCCCTAACAGTACTAACCCTGGTAGACTTAACATGGTTCTCGTTTGCGCTTTCCCATGGCTCGGGGTTGGCGTCTCCATTTGCCCGTTTTCTCTGCATATAGTATATCCAGATGGAGTATTGATGACCAGTCATTTTTCGCTGCCTATTGGAGAATGGAGATATTGAAAGCGACTCTGACTTTGCCCTGGCTCCTCACGTCCTAGACTATAAAACTGCTTTGTCGAAAAAAATGATAGCTGGCCGAGGACCTCCGCCTATAAGATATAAGCGGGAGATTGATTCTGGGATACTTCGGATAGTCCTCTCACTTAACAGCGGTTCTTCTGCCTTTGTGTGTGTGTGTATTCTCTCAAGCTGAAAATTCTAGTCTGCCGGAATAATGTCCAGGATCTTGCCGCTCACATTACGTTGCTTTAACCTACTTCCGTTCAGGTCGTCCTTGGGTAACTGACCTAGTTGTCTAGTTCGTTGATCCGATCTTCGTACACGAGGCGTCTGCTAGATCAACAAAGCAATCAAGCTTCGCATATATTTTCGACGCACTCCTCTAATTGGCTTGGGGTTTTTGGGGGTGTGTGGGTGGGGAGTCTAGTAATACGGCACCATGCCATCACCATGAGGCAATTCATCCTGAGGGATCACCACTGGGGACTTGAATCTGCCTCTATGCTAAGGTAAAGCCTCTATGATAAGATAAAATTACTCAATTGCGATTACCCACTACTGCCTTGGTCATCAATGCCTCCAGATACTAGCCTACCAGGCAGTGATGACATCTTGGAAGGCCTGCCGCCAACAACGCACAGGTATCCATACAAGGGAAGCGAGCAATTCCTGGACACCATGCTGCGGGAACATGATCGCTGCCTAGAAGGGGAAGGCAGTGAATACGTGGTTTTTACCAACGTGGACGAACGCACCTTCCTCCAGGATCTCTCCGAATCCAGTGAGAAGCTCATCCGCAATTCCTTGAAATCCTACTGCTCAGAATCACAAATTCTAATTGCGAGAATGGTCTCCGGTCCCCACGAAGAGGCCGTTTTCGCCTTTCACGATCAGCTGAGAGACAAGCTGGAGCCCATGCATCTGGGGCATTCTCTGCACAGATTCGGGCGCAAGACCACCCATGAAGGCCCGAGAACAAAGGAGGCCGACCACGGCCTGTACCCACGGCGTCTTCCCGCTGGACGCACCGACAAGTGGCCCTCGATCGCTATAGAAGTTGGTTACGCAGAGTCTAAAGGCAAACTTCGGAATGATCTCCGCTGGTGGCTCTCTCAGTCAAGCGGAGAGGTCAAAGCCGCGATCAGCATCTCCACCCACAAATCGAAAAGAGAGATCGTCATCGAGATCTGGGCAATGACAGACACCTCATCTGGCACCAAACCTACCCTCCAGCAACGGCTGGTCATTTCGAAGCCTACGGCCGATGGCACCACCGATGTGACGAATGCGCCTCTCACCGTCCCATTCGAAAGCCTATTCCTTCGCGCCACAGACCGATCGGAGGAAGGTGATATTCAGATGACGGAGGATGATTTGCGACAGATGGCGGAAGAAATCTGGGAAACCCAGACATTTTAGATGCCGCAGACGAGGGAGGCCATGAGATGAAATGGGCTAGCGATCGGACGGTTCGAGATTGTTTTCCTTTGCTTTTCTGAAGTTGCTCACAGGGGAGCAAAGTTGGGACTGGGGTTCTGCCGGCCTTTCTCCACCGCCTCTCTGACCGCCCGCAGCGTATCTGTAGGTGGCAGTAGATAGCTTCTCTTTTTCTTCTCTCTAAGAAGGTCCGATAGATAGATAATTTAATTCTCTCTCTCTTCTGTTCCCTTCCTTAGAGTTCTACTTTCCCCGGCTTCCCCTAGTGCTCTCTGAGAGGTTATGAGTAGACTTCGGCATAACCCACTATAACCCGAACCCTAGGAATGCCGTCGGTATCGGTCGGAAAACACCGCCAGATTTCGTCCGAGCGTCCGGGGGTGCCGGTCGGTCTTGGCGGGTATCAGCTGTTTCGGCAGGTGGATCCGGGTATCGGGCGGGTGATTGGGCCCGACCGATACCGTAGCGGGGCGCGCGAGGGTATCGGGCGGGTAATTAGGTCCGCCCGATACCGTCGTGGGGCAGAGGGGGGGATCGCTCCTAGCAGGCTATCCAAAGGGGGTCGAACACGAAGATTTTCAGATAGTAATATTGATCATCTAGAACTCTCTCTATATCAAATCTTAGCAGTATCGCTATAATAGATAGGGTAGGAGATAGAAAATCGCGAACTCGCGATTTTAATAGGGGATACCAAGAAATAAGGAAGAACGATTTCCCTCCCTCTCTCCCTCTCTTTCGACTTTTTAACCCCTACGGCCGTAGTCCCTAAACTAAATCAACCGCGTAGAAGAGACTATATAATAAGCAGCAAAGTAACAGAAACAGAAAGAATAGGGTAGGCAGAGAGAGACAACTATTATTATTTAGGTAGTATTAAATATTAATCAATCATTATTAAAAAAAAGGGTTAGAAGACCCACGGTCGCGTCTATGATAGTACGAGCATCACGAGTACCATCACTAGTATCACCGGCCTTACTTCAGCCCCTACCTTAAAACCAGGGTTTTAAGGTATATAGCGATACTGCTTCATAAAACTTAGAACCCCGGTTCTAATATTAGTAATATCACCACTACTAATATTATCGCCGATCACCAGCGTCTGATTTTCACAGGGTAAGCAGCTCGAGGACGGCCGTACTCTATCCGACTACAATATCCAGAAAGAGTCTACCCTACACCTAGTCCTACGCCTACGCGGTAGTATATAGATCTATACGTTTCCTAGCTATCCACCTCTATTATTTAGTTTATACTAACTTTTCCTATAATCATCAAGACTCTCACCGGTAAGACTATCACCCTCAAGATAAAGTCCTCCGACACTATTAATAACGTTAAATCGAAGATTTAGGACAAGGAGAGCATCCTACCTAACTAACAGCGCCTAATTTTCGCGGGTAAACAGCTAGAGGATAGCCGTACTCTATCCGACTACAATATCTAGAAAGAGTCTACCCTATATCTAGTTCTTCGCCTACGCGGTAGTATATAGATCTTCGTCAAGACCCTCACCGGCAAGACTATCACACCCCTAAGATTAAATCCAGTATCACCTATCGATAACGTTAAGTCCAAGATCTAGGACAAGGAAGGCATCCCGCCTAACTAACAGCGTCTGATTTTCGCGGGGCAAGCAGCTCGAGGATAGTTATATCTTTTCCGACTATAATATCAATATAAATAATAGCGCTAATAGTATTACTAGTATTACCGACTAGTATCATTATTACTAGTATCTAGTATTATTAATATCACCGGCCTCACTTTAGCCCCTACCTTAAAACCAGGGTTTTAATAATATAGATATAAGTACTTAAAACCCTAGTTCTAATATATCGGGCCTTTATATCCTCTATATAATATCTACTATAATAAAACCTTCTTAGTAAAATAGAGTCATATATCTAATCAACAATACCGCCCTCGAACCGGAGTAATATAATTCCGTCCTTACTTAGGAAACCACACTATAAGATATAGACACCTTAATACCTTATAAACTTTCCTTTCTAGGTAATACCATTATATAAAGTGGCACCGGGTATTACCTATCTAGCTAATACCCTATATAGCGGCACCGGGTATTGCCTATCCAGCTAATACCCTTATATAGCGGCACCGGGTATTACCTATCTAGCTAATACCCTTATATAGCGGCACCGGGTATTGCCTATCCAGCTAATACCGTCCTAAGGCACCTAGGCAAAAATCCTAGTCAAGATACCCTAAAGCCCTTCAAAATATAAACCCATATACCCTATTACCAATATTTTCGGGCACCCTATTATCTTACACCCCTATCATCCTACGTAAGAAATACACAGCCTTAGTAACAGCGGTGTTAGATTCCTTATATATATAATAGTGCGTCTTCGATCCTTAACGCATCTATTACCACTAAACTACTATTACCAACAAAAAAAAGAAAAAGAAAAAGAAAAAGATCACGAAAAACCAAATCCCACAAGAATCGCTCGACCCCCCCCCCCAACCGAACGCCCTTCCTATCAAGCACACTTCTATCCCCTTTTTTTTTTTTTTTTTATTTTCTTTCTTCCCACACCCTCCTATCAACACCGCTCACCGGTTTTACTACCGAAGCACCCTAATCTAACGCCTAGTTATAAAAGTTGGAGGTATTAACGCAGGCTCAGCGACCGACAAGTCACTATCTATATCACTTCTATCTATCTCAGTATAAGACCCCCCCTCGCCAGACACTAACCCCTACTACAATAGACTTAGTTAATAGATAACCTAGATTAGTCTCTCGCTTAAGATATACCAGAGGCCGATACTCTATCCGTCTCCAGATTATCCCTATCGAAAAAGGCCGAGTAATCGGTGAGCTCACCCTCCGAGGCCGTGGAGATAGTATCACTATCTTTATCCTATAGTTAGGTCAACCCGTCGACTCTAGGAAAGTCGCCTAGTAAGGAAAAGAGGGGCGTACCTTAGCCACCGGATGATCTATACAGGCTGCCGGTCTTCCTACCAGCACGACGGGCGGAACTCCAGTCTCCAAGGTTATACCTAGAGACTATCCGAATTAGCAATCTAGCCTATATTAAGGGGTAAAGATAGAGACAGAGCCGCCCCCTTAACACCTACCGACACCTATCCTAGAACCGGGGTTCTAAGACAGACCTTAAAACCCCGGTTCTAGGATAGGTGATCGATTAGTAGGGTCATCAATAAGCAAGGATCCAATCAGCCATATATATACTTGCCACGTTTTTTCTTCTATCTACTATTACCAGAGGAGGAGTCACCACCACGTCATCGTTTCCCCCCAGCCCCGTTAGTACCGCTATTATCGTCGTCATCGTCGTCATCGTTATCGCCGCTATTATTGCCGCGCTCCGCTCTCTCCCTCTTCTCTTTTACAGCAGCGGTAGCGGCGGCCGTCGCCTCCTCGTCCTCCTACCGAGTCACACGATTTATCGCACTACACTTGCTTAGGGTCCTCTTAAAGGAATCGCTAAAAAGGATATCGATATCCTTAATATCCTTAAACGTCCTATAGTCGGCACAACCAGGTCTAAGCCCTAATATAGACCGTAGGAATTCCACCGAGAGCGCGGTAATATCCTCGGCCTACTAGGTTTCCTCTTCGGCGGCGTCGTCCTCGTCGATATCCATCCGGTCGTCCTCCGTACTCGCCTCACTATCCGAGCCACGATCTTCTTCCTTTTCGTCGTCCTCCCTAACCGTATCAGTCCTAAAGGCCCTATCTCGACGGTCCCTAGTAGCCAGAACCTTCTTACCCTCTATTCGCGTGAGCTTAAGCTCGGCTAAACGCGTTACGATAGCGTCGTGGCGTTAGGCTGTTAGCTAAGATAGGATCTTTTAAGTATTATTAAACTTAATATAACGATAGATTATATAGTCCTAGAATAGGATCCACGCCCTCTGCTGCTCTGTCTAACCTAGATAGTACACCTGTCTAATCGCCTAGAAGAGACTATTAAAATTAAGCGATAGCTTAAACAGCACGACCCGGGAACAATACGCGTGGAAGTTAAGGCCTATTACTCCTATATTATAAGTAGTCACAAGGGCCGTGTAGGTATCGGTCTTAGACGTAAATTTCGATAAGGCCGCTATATAGTCTATTAGGCTTATATTCGCCTTAATAGTTGTGTAGTCGATACTTAGTACGAATAGGAATATCTCTACCAGCCACGCCGTTATCAGCTAATAGTAAAAGATAAAGAAACACAGCCTCTGCCCTACTAGTTTAAAGAGCCCCTCCCGATTAAAAAGATCGTAGAGGTAATAGAGATAGGGGTATTACTTAGCCACGTAATAGGCTATCCTAACCTAGTTATTTAGTATAAGATAGCTTGGGTCTAAGATAGAGTAGGCGTAGAAGAGACTAAACCCCTAGTCCGCCGCCGATATATTCTTATAGATAATTTTAGCGAAGGTCGCCGCCGGGATCTCTAGGGTCCGTCGCCGGAAGAGATCTAGCTTAGGGTATATCCCGATAAAAGAAAGGAACTAATATACCTTCTAGTTGATCTAGCCGGGCGCCTCCTATAGCTAGGCCTCGCTATCCACGCCCCCGCCTTTCTTTATCGCGTGTATTAACTAGTGATAGGTCCGGTCGTGCTCGGCCTAATCGCCCGGGCTATAGCGTAGCTCGATAGTTATAATCTATATCCGCGGAATCTCCTCGCTAATTTAGATCGTGACCCTATTCTCCAACGTAAGTAAATCCCCTATATCCCGTTAAAGGAGGCAGAGCTGGAACAAGATAGGTAAGGCCTTAAAGCTAGTAACTACGGTTAGGTAGCTACCCTTAGCTAGCTTAACAAGGCGCGCCGGGTCTAATAGGGTATATAGCCTCGGGTCGGGCAGAGCGGTACGTAGCTCCGACTACTTAGCGTAAATATCTAAGGGGTCCGCGGTCTCGTCGGCTTGACCGCTATTAGGAAACGGGAGGGTAATTACCCTATCCCTATCGGCGTTAGTCTTGCTATATATTTTAGGGTCGTAGAGGAGGGCTAGATAGCTATATAGATCTAGGGTCCGGTTCTATATAGATATGGCCGTAAGAAACCAAATCGCGTCGTATTTTAGGAGGGCGACGGCCTAGTAAAGCATCGAGCGAATAGTCTTCACCCGATAGGCCTCGTCGTAGATAACTCGAGCCTATATAATATTAGGGAGGATAGATTTGAAAATCCTCCGTTCCTATTTTATCTTCCGGCCACGCTCCTTAGCCTTCTCCTCCTCTTAGAGATTATATAGCTAGTCGAGCGCCGCCTCCGTCTTAAGGGTCGCCCCGTCCTTTAGTAGCTCCTCGGGATCGAGGTCTATTCCCTAGTCTATCTACTACTTTAGTCTCTCTAGGTTAACAAGATCGTTGGCCGAGTCGCCGCCGCCGAACGGCCCTAAGTAAGGATCCTCCTCCCCCTCCGTACTATTACTACCCCCCAAGATCGGGGATTGAGCCCCCGGAGATTCAGGGTGGTCGACGCCGTTATCCTCGTTATTAGTTGGGTCAACCTCCTAGATCCTTATAATTAGCCACTATAGCAGTAAAGAGTATAGAATAGCCAGAGCAAACAATACAGACAGATCGATCTCGTATACAGACTAGAACTGGGGTTCTAGCAGTAGCGATAGACACTACTAAAACCGGGGTTCTAGCAGTAGCGATAGACACCACTAGAACCCTAGTTCTAAGGTAGGTATAGAATCAGCATATAGCTTACCTCGTCATTCTCGTCACCATTCTCTTCGTTATCACTCCCCTCCTCTCTTATCTCCACCTCCAGGATCCGCGCCGTCCAGGTATTATAGGACGATAGCACTACAGTCGCGGCCGTCTTCGGGTCCCTTAGGATAAGGCCGCCGATAAAGGCCTTAAAGGCTAGAGCGTTATTAAGCACGCGCTTTTGACGCGGATTGCCCTACTAGAAGTTAGCCTTGTTACCGTAGAAGATATAGATATCGAAGGCGTTACCGAAGTACCGCTCGATCTGCTCGAGCCACGTCTCGATTAATAAGCTTAGATACAAGATTAGGGTCGGCTTATACTTACGACCCGGGGTCGGGCTAGCGTTAGCCTTCTCGGCTGTATACTATATTACCGTTAGGGCTATTAGGGTCTTCCCGAGGCCGTAAACATCCCCGAGGATCCTACCGCTGATATCACTCTTCTCTTAAGCGAGTAGCTAAGCGGCCGTTATCGCCTACCACACCTTTAGCTTGGTCGGCCCGACCCCCGCCTAGGTAGTCTTAGGCTTAAGTAAGGAGATTCTGTTAACGTCTTACTCTAAGCCTAGGTCCGTACACGTTTCGGATAGTAGCTTAGTCGCGGTAGTAGCGCTATTCTTGAGCCGCTACTAGCGCTAAATCCAACTATAGTAGTCGTCTTAGGCAGACTCGCGGTCCAGCCCGGGGCTAAGGTCCTTATTCGTTATAGCCTTATAGGCGTTTACGATATCGGCCCCGATCGCGACCGCGTTATTGATGTCTCTAAGGCTACCGCTAGTCGGATTAGCGTCTCCGATATTAAAGTCGGTAGGCTCCTAGAGAATATTGCCCCTTAGCTACTTCCGATAGATAAACTAGGGGTAGAGGATTTTGTGGTCGTCGGCCGTTATAGGTGGCTTCGCCTATCGACCACGTTTATTCCTATTCGAGGCCTTTATTAGAGCCTTAACGATAAGACCCTATTCCTATTTAGTAGGCTCTGTAGGCGTTGACTAGATAGCGTCGATATCCCGGTTATTAGGGTTAGGGCTAACGTCACCTATCCTAAAGCGATTAAAGGCGAGATCCTTTAGCCCTTACCCGGAGAGTGGATTTGGCCTAAGTAGGTTTCCCCTACCTATCTAGGAGCCCTAACCCTGGCCCGAGGCAGCGCTGTTAGGCATTAACTCTGGTTCTTGCGCCGGATGACTCTAGGACTTTAGCGTCTTATTATCTATAAACTCGTCCCGCTCCTAGGCTATTTAGTATTTATTGGTTGAACGCTAGAAGAAATTAAGAAGCTTCTATACGTGTAGGATATCGTAGGGGTCGATCTTCTATAGTATCTATAAGAAGTCGGACCGCGGAAAGAGCTCGGGGGCCTCCTAGATCAACCGACACCCGTACTATACTATATTTAGGCTAAAAAGGTTATCGAGAGCGAAGTTATCTATAGCCTTATTAAAACATAGGGGGGGTCCGAGGTTATCGTGTTCGACCACTCCGGTAGTTAGGCTATCGCTATAACCTTTATTTTCACTATATTATTATTTGCTTTCTCGTCGTTAGTCTACTAGGTATATCCGAAGCTAGTAAAGCGGTTATTCACGTATTTCACTAGGATCTCACGTTTTGCTATATCCCGAGTCGTCTATATCTCGAAGATATCCTTCCCTTCCGGCAGACCTAGGCAGCCCGCGATCTTCGGGGCGGAGTTATCTATAAGCCTCACGAATCCTTTAGTGTAGCTGACCCCGGGGCAGAACGCCTTAAGATCACTATCCTTTTTACCTATGGCCGTCTTAGTCTTACGTAGGGTGGTAGTGGCCTTAGCCTTCCCCTTCCTCTTAGGTATAGTAGGTTTCTTATCTTTAGGCGATACGGCCGTCTTACCCTTCCCCTTCCCTTTCTTTAGTAGTATAGCGGCGCCGAGTCGGGGTACTAGAGTCGGAGTTAGCGGATACAGAGTATAGGATATAGGGCCTTAAATAATAGCTATCTAGAACCGGGGTTTTAAGGTCCGCCTTAAAACCCCGGTTCTAATATCGAGGGAGATATTATATAGTCCGCTATAGAGGGTAGTCTAGTATAGGCATCAGGGAGGATCTATATCTACTCAGAGAGAGAAAAGTTGGTATATCAGAGTCGGTTTTTGATAATAATATAGGTAGCGTTAATAGGAAAGTAAGGTAAGGTATTGATAGAGGGAAAGGGGTAACGAAAGATCTAGTTTTGACTTTAATGGTTAGCGATAGGGGTAGTAAGGGATAATCGATATCAGCCGGTCTTACTTACTTGGCGGGTATATTAAACCCGCAGTTGTAGTCGTCGGCGGGCTCCTTTAGAAACCCAAGGTATCAAAAGGAAAAGGAAACCAGAGAGGAGATAGAGAGAGAAGAAGAAAAAAGGGGAGAGAGGGAGAGAGAGAGAGAGAGAAAACGACGAGAGTAAAACAAGAGAAGAGAGGAGAGATAAAAGAGGAAGAAGGTTTGAAACCGCGAGAGAAAATTTATAGACGCCGCCGGCGGTATTCATATATCATTAGACATAATAGGATCAAGATCAGGCAACGGCTCAGTGATCCAGTAGAGCGCGAGGATCAGGGAATTAATAAGTACCTAGATTAGGTAGACGCACGATCTTATTTATACCAGGATCAGGAAATCAAAGAACGCCTAGATTAGGTAGAATCACGATCTAGCGCTAGAATCAGGAAACTAAACAAAGCCCAGATTAAATAAAAGAATATCGATCTTATTAACTAAAACTATAAGGGTTTAGAATCAAAGAGAGCCAACGTATAAATCAAAATTATTGGATCGAGCAGAATAGGCTTAAACGCGCTAAAAGACCCTAACTATTAAATAAGAGACAGTACGAATCATCTAGTATACTAATCAGATTTTAATCTCTACCAATATAAATAAAGAGAGCCCCTATAGGATCTCTATACCGAGCGTTCTATAGTACTAGAATTTTAGTACCCTTTTATATCTTATCTAGTTAGAATTATCCTGGCCACTACACAAAAAAAGCCATATACTTAGTAAATCTCGGTATATTTCTTTATCTATATACACGCTAACGTATAGATCCTAGTAGGGAATACCGGGGGTATTAGTAGGAAAATATATACAAAATTCCATCTTTATTTATTTCGCGGAGGTTAGGACAGACGTATATAGACAAAGAAGGTAGTAGGTCCAAATCTACCCGGAGCCAATAATAGGGCTATATCGGATCCTGGCCCGGTGCCTATATCCGGTATTAGTATCTCCCGTCTTGGCCGCCACACGTATTAAAGCCGACCCTTCTAACCCTAGGTTCTTTGTCCTATACCCCAAATACCGCCGCGTTAGATCCAGGGCCTTACCTCCTTACGCCCGAACATACTAAGTTACGCCTTACCACCGCACCCTAGCACTGTCAGGCTAACACTCTCGGTATATATATATCACACACCTGCTTAAATATATATCTCGGTCTATATACTTAATAATCGACCTCTATCTTACCTTTTATTTAACGCACATTCCTCGTTAATTAACACCTAGGGGGCGAAGATAACCCACGTAAAATATTGGAGTGATATCCCAATGGCTTCCTTCCTATATATTATACCTCTATTCTATAGAGAATCAATCCTAATAGTATACCTAGTTTACTTACCTAGTAATAGAGGTTTAACCCCCCTATTAGGTATAACGTAATTTACTTAGTAGGGCTCCACTATCTAGGCCGAATCTAGTATATTATCCCTACTCCGATATATCGCTTAGGGAACCCTACCAAAAATCACCGAGTCTATAGGGGTGGTACGCAGCTATATTAGAACCGGGGTTCTAAAGTAGCCTTAAACCCCCGGTTCTAATATAGCTATAACTATATATAGCCATACACACATATATTAAAACCCCGGTTCTAAGCCTTATACTAAAACCCCGGTTCTAAGGAGTGTGCGGCTTATACGTAGGGGCCTTTACTATATAGGGGGTGTGGAGTATACACAGAACTGTATCTAGGGCTTTACCCGTTACCCACAAAGTAAGCAGGTGTTAATTTAGCGATCGATCCCTATCCTTATATTAGTAAAATACCGGGCTTAACGAATATATATAAATTAATCGCTATTTAATCCCTAAAAACACTAGAACCCCGGTTCTAGAATATATAACAAAATACTAGGGTACTGCGTTAATAGTTAGCAGCGAGCGTTATAGCTAGGAATAGCCACGTATCGAGTACTAATCACGAGACTCGCTTAGGGGCGTAGGGTATTATTACCTTATATATAGATTTCTGTATAATACTAGAACGGAGATACCTACGAAATAGCTAAGTCTAGGCTAAGCTATAGAGGCAGCCTTTATAGAGGAGACCTAGAAGATATAACTATAGGATAGGCTCTAATACCTAACCCGTGTAAATCGCTTATAGCTAGGGATTACTAGGCTACGGTGATTAAGGTTCTAGTACTAAGAGATCCGCCGGCGCTCGTTACTAAAGAAAGCGTACTATAAATATGAGTATATCTATTTCTGCTAGATAGATAATAATAGGAAAGGCTCGATTAGGCCCGCTCGGCGGATGGCTGCGGTGGTATCTAGGAGCCCTAGCATATCCTACTCTATCTTAGCGAGGTCCTAACCCTCGGCCAAGGATAGGAAGCTATGTGGCAGGTAGCTTTTAGTATGTATTCTCAGAGCCTTTCGCCTAACCGCGTAGTTATAATAAGGACAGACTACTATACCCTATCTAGGGAAGAAGAGGAGCCCCCCAGCGACTAGGATCTAGTGGTAGTAGGAGATACCTTAGTAGAAGGTTGGCGGTTAGTATAGTACGATCGGGAGAGGCCGCGACCGAAAAGGTTAGGGGCTAGACGCCTCCTAAGCTAGCCCCCCTTAGGCTCGGTAGACTTTAAGCGTGGCGACGCCGACAAAGTCCTGTTAGAGATAGGAGGCCCGGCGGAATATAGTAAGATAACGCAGTTCGATACCGATCGGGTCTCCGGTCGGTATATTATATATCTAGTAGTGTATATTAGAGTAGTATCCTGCCTAGGCCGTAAAGATCCTACTAAATAGCTCCTTAAATATGGTTAGGTCCTCTAGAGGAGGTTGCTCTTAGAGATAGGTCTTAGTGATCGCAATCGAGGTATAGCGGTAGATAGATACTATAAACCGGAACCCCCCTTTCCCCCTAAAGAACCTATCACTAGTATCCTATAGGGTGGCTATGAATTAGTCGGCGGCTTATCGGTTATTCATCCCCGGGAGGCTGAAGAGGTAGTCAGGGGAGATCTGGCTGTCTATATCTAGGGCAGTGCGGTCGTCGCTATATATCTATTGCTAGAGGATATCAATTAGGGGGCGGATGTATTAGAGATAGTGAAGGATAACCTAGGAGACGGTCGGGGGAAGGAATCTAGCGGTAATAGGGCCGCGGTACATCCGCGAGATACTCTTATGGTACTCGGTAATAAGGAGCAATAAGCCTTTATAAATAAAGAGGTTCCGGATGCTAGTAGCGTTATTCCTCTATTTAATACTTATTAGCTCGGTCCGGCGAGCGGTCTAACCCTATATAACCTAGACCGCAACTATTAGGCGCTAGAGGAAAAACCGCACACACCATAGATATTATTAGATCTAAGCTAGGTCCTAATTAACCTTATACCGTAGAGGGTGGACCTAGGAATAAGGTATCTTATATAGTGGTAGTAGCTTAGTATATAACTACCGTAGCTAATTACGCTTAATACTAAAGAGAGAGAAGCTAGCCTTAGTCTTATCGACCTTATCCCACAAATATCCGATATTAAGGGGAGAGGGCTGCTAGCTAAATATAAGATCTAAGTAGAGGATATTAATAGTCGATCTCACTACCGAGTAGATCTAGGAACGGACCGCTATAAGAGAGATTGGGACTGGGTTTTTAAGGAAATACAACGTTTGCTTATCCTCGCTCTATTATACCATCAGCGGTCGTTGCTTATACCGGCTAATCTTTATCTTAGTTATTAGTAGACAGAGTAGCTCGGTAACCGGATAACATAATATCTAGGATATATATATTATATAGGCCCGTCGCGCGCGTTCTATCTAATACTCGAAATAGGTCCGTAGGAGAATATTAGAAATATAGTGATATGGCCGAGCCGGGACTACGTACTCTAATAATAACA